AAGAGAGAATTACAGGCAGCGTCAGAAAGAGCAGCTTTTTAGAGTGCGAGCCTCTGGGACCTACTAAACAAATTTTTAATGTATAAAAAAAAAAAATTGGCCACCTCAAGTTATGAAGTTTGGTGAATAGATAATTGAAAGAATCACGAATGATTAAATATTAACAGTTTAAGTGTCACGGGTTTTGGCAAAAATGCGATAGCGCTTGTTTCATTTCGTGTCAAAATATGTCAAATAGTGTGATTATTGCATTGAAATATTATATTATAAGAATATAATCTAAACGTTATACATTGTATATTATACTTAGGCTGTTATTTTCTGTACAAAAGTTAAATGAATTGATAATTTTAGACGCTGAAAAGTAAAGTGCTATCGCGCCACGCCTGATGATACACAAACGATTATGCATATATATATATATATACACATTGTGTAAATATTAATTAATTGCTAATAAATAGCAAAATAAGCAAAATAAGTGAAACAAGTGAAAGAGGTAAAATTAGAATAAGATTGGAAGTGATAACTGATAGATACTTACTGAGATAACAATTTGTTAAGTAATCCTTATAATGTCATAAAATCACATTGTGCCACATTATTACTAATAACATATTGTCATTTTTTTTTTCTTTTTATAATATGGGCCCAGTGATCCCATTCGTACGATAATTATCGTACGCGTACGATAATTTGAGACCTTGTACGATCCAAAATTTGGAATTTCGAAAACTTGATGACCTCTTTTTTTTTTTAGTCATCAAATTTTGCAAACTGGTACGATTTTCCGATAGTGAATCGAAATTTCGAGAACCATCATCACGATCTGTGTACGATTTGTGTACGAACTTTATACACGAACAAGTTTTCATGACAAAAGGGTCATCAACTTTGAAAAATTGGAAATTGTACTCTTTTTCCAGATTTTCAAAATCTCATCAGCAAAATTACAGTAATTCAAATTTTTCCCGGGGCGTACGATAATTTTCCGGTGTGTACGATAATTTTACACCCCTGTGTGTCGATCAGACGAACTAAAAGTCTCTGGGATCATTGAATATGGCGTAATAATTTTTTCATTTAAAAATTTAAATCTTAATATCACCGTTTGCAACTAATTATGAAAATTAATTGAAAGTTTCAATCACGCAACAAGTATATTAACACATTCGCGGTTGGCATATTTTTTCCTCTTTTTTTTGTTTTTTTTTTTACTACTGGGTACCAACTAAAATGATGAATTATTTAAATTTTATATGTAAATAAGAAAATATTATTATTTAAATATTATACAAATTTATATTTATATTCAATTTTTACAATGTAAAATGACGTGAATTTCACGTCAGCGGTCGCGAATGTGTTTAAATACATTGAAAAGAAGTTTATATATAATATAGGTAATATAGTGGTATATAGGTAATAATGTGATAATTTGTTTTCAATGTTTTAAACAATTTCATCTTTGAAAATGTTATAAAGGCACCAGAGATTGTATGTATATTTCATTTTATTTAGTTATCACTTTTAATATATATATATATTTTTTTTTTCTTTATTGTATTTATTTTTATTTGTTAATCGTTATGTGGCACATATAATCTGTTTCGAATTAAATATAATACACACACACACACACACACACACACACACACACGTATTTACTGAAGCTGTCTGAACTAAAGGATAGCACAAGTAAAAGTTTAAATATCGATGATATTAAACTTTTGAGACGAGCCTGACAAATAATGTGTAGCATGTATGATGAGTTATTCGTAGCTCAATCATTGAGACTAATTATTGTTCGAAATCGTTATTTATCATGCTTTCCAAAAAGTACATGTACATTTTCGCGTTTTACGCGATAAAAAGATTTAATGAAGTGCTACCTACATGAAAACGCAAAGACAATTTTGTACAATATTGATAAATATTATGCTCACAGCGATTAGTTCATTATTCGATTAGTAAGAAACGTTAATAGAGTAACACGAATATCAAAATAGGTATAATAAGTGATTGCACTTGGTCAAGTACTCTAGTTATATAATAATTGTAGTCATAATAAGAAGATATGTTAGAAACTTGACGATTGATTGTATGTAAATTTGAAAATCATTAGAAAAGTTGATCATATTGAGTCATCTGATAATGAAATTTCTTCTCCAAAATGACGTCAAATACAATCAGTTATTATACTTTATCAATGCGAGTGGATATAGAAAGGACAATATAGAAAACCGACTAGAAAAAGATTTGGGGCTTCGTTGATAATACCAGGGATGTCGTAGAATTCAAAATTGATTACGTGTTCGTCACTATTCGGGTAAAAGCTTTATAAGTGAAGCACAATAATTGAATGGGAAGAAGGGTGTTATAAGAAATCTAAGACCTCATATTGAGTAATAATATGTAACTATGAGATAAGATAATGTGATTAATAATGTGACCAAAATAATGCCCCCCGCACTATGTTTAAATACTTTCCGGTCGTATTTTTGCTAGTTTATTCCATACAAGCTAAATTAGATAAATTGAGATCTTTTATTTTATTTTCGGTATATATATATATATCTGTTTATTTTTCTAATATTATTGTTTTTTTTATTTTTTTTTTTTTTCATTTTTTGCAAAGCGAAGAATTTGTAAATAATTTGAAATAATTTTATAAGTTTCATAAAACAAATAGTTTCAATAATCTTAAAGAGAGAAAGGAATTTTTTTAATAAAAATTTATAGTGATGATATATAATAATATTTACAGTGGTGTACGTGATGATAATATCTTTTCAAGCAAAACAGTAAATTGGTTAGCAATATTATTTTTATTTTTATTTTTATTTTTATTTTTATTGTTAAACTTGGTTACACTTCATTTACTGTCTAGTAAGGATTTTTTTTTTAGGATAATATGCCTTGAATAGTTAATAGGTGTAGGCTTTAAAGTAGTTGTATGTTGTGTGCGTGCGTGTGTGATTTATATCACCAAGAAAGAACACATAATGGAAAAAGAAAGACTTAGATTCAGAGAACTAAAAACAAAAAGAGTTTTGATCATTGCGTTTTTAAGTACATATATACAATTAGAATAATTTAGAATTAGATAGTAGAACTTAGATTATTTGTGTCTCAGCAACATCCTCTTCATAATTATTAGGCGTGGAATATATAAAGGAACATTTATTTTCTGTCAACAGTAAATTTAGAAAATATTCGTACGATGATCAATTTTACACAAAGTTTTGTGAAATTATTGTTTATTAATTAAATTGTTGTAACAAGGAAATAGTAATTATCAACGGTTTAGTAGACACGTTGGAGAACACTAATTTCTGTTAAATCATTCAATTGAAAACAAAGAGAAAATAAAAATTGGACAAATATGTTTATAATTATTTGTGTTTATCAAAAAAAAAAAAAAAATTAATCAATAAACAACAATTTTATAATGCTATGTTTGAAATTGATCGATACACGAATATCTTTTTTATCGTACTTTTTTATTTTTAATGTTTTTATTTATCTCTCGAGGAGTGTCAATTGTCTTTGTTTATAAAGAAAACAAAATAAAGATCCATAAATATTGTATTAAAGTATGTTAATTAACGCACACGTCAGTATGACACGTGTGTTAATTAAAAGAAAGTAAACACATACGACCGGAAAGAATTTAATATGTCCATACGATGATTATGATACGAAAAGATTTTTTATTTTCAAGAGATATTTCTCCTTAGTTGCGCTTATATAATAATAATATTTATATACACGAATTTTAGTTAATTATCAATCAGTATTATTAAGTGGAATTTTTAAAACAAAAACAATAGCAAAAAAAAAAAAA